TCAAGTTTCAACAAATAATAGGGCAGCCAACACTGAACAGTGTAGTGCGAGTGATCAAAAGACAATATAAGGTAAATGAGTTGCTCACAGTCACACATGAGAAAAGAAAATACGAAAAAAGAACATATCCTAGATGTTTGACGCTGAATCGAAATCGGAGTGCAAGGAAGAGACGCTTTCAGCAACGAAAAATGCAAAGCGTTTCAAAACAGACCTCTCTGAAAAGTCAGTCATATTCCATAGGTTAAAAGAATCTTCCAATAAAGAACAAAAGGCTACATTTGAGCTAGATTCCATCTTCTATAAAACCAGATCACTTCCAGTTGATGATCATATCCAAATCCAATCAATATTCAACACTAACATACTTTAAGTTAACAGTGAGATGTACCTGTCTAGAATATCGGGTGGCGATGAGATTTCTGTCACAAAGAGTGGTATAAAACGATACATAGAATGTGATGTGAACTTTGTCAATCGGATGTTTGACCACGGTCTCGTAGAAAATTTACATCGATCGTATTTACTAGTCGAGGCTGAAAGCACTGGTTTTATTGATGATAGTTCTTTAGATTGATAAGATGAGGACGTGGAAACCAGATAATTCTATACGAAAGCGATCACCGAACTCACTTGATGTAAGGTGGTATATGGTTACAGTGTGTATTCATAGCTGAAACAAGATCTTCAATGAATTGACGGGCAACGTATTTGTTTTCACTTCATTTTAGTTGTAGAAAAGTGGCAATCATTTATAAAACAAAAGTTTCATTCACGTTTGTTCTATGTTTATCGTTGATTGTCAGTCATATGAATGCATAATTAGAAAGCGACATTCCTTATTATATTTAACCTTCATATCAGGCTATTTTCTCAAAAAGGAATACCATATCATTTGAGTAATTATAAAATATATGGTGATATTCAACAATAAAGTACAAGTATTGACTTTTCGACAAACAACAACTGAGGTCAATAGACAGATATCAGCAGATTGCACTCTCCGGTAGTGTACTATTTTATTTTCATTAATTTGTAGCGTGGTGTCGAGTTGAGCTTGATTGTGAACACGTGCGTAGTCACAAACTGCGTAGAAGTAATGGGGTACAATGGAAGACCGAAATAGCTGTTATTAGCACATTTAAACTAACGAGCACAGTAAAACAATCACTGGTACAATTGGTTATAATAATAATTGTTTTCATCGAACCAATCGCGTTCTGTTGACAAAAGTAGGTCAATACAACTTTTGCTATAAAAAAATCTTTTTTATGCGACAACGCATATTAGATGAAAAGAACGGAACTAGATGTGATGATTATATGTGTTGTTCAAATACGTTAATGGGATTTAACCATCAAGTTACAGTGCACAATGTTCACAGTTTTGAGAGGACGAAACAAGCAGGAGTTGTGTTCAGGTCAAACCAACACTGTTCATCGAGAATACAATGAGCCCTTGACTTATAAAGAGAAGAAGAAAAATTACAAACAAGTTAAACAACTGGAAATCAGTAAGAATCATCATCTGACCGAAATTACGAAACTCTATCTCTCTGAACATCACAAGTTTGAATGATACTGGTGAACCAGATAGAATATTCTAATCAAACAAAGTCAATACAATCGTGTTCACATTTCTGGTAGCGAAATTGCAGAATCACATCTGTTAAGCAATGACAGTGCAACTCATTCCTATGCTGCTCACTGATGGTAGTATGATTAATTGAACGTTGTTCAATTGCGAAATCAGTGTCTGATCCGTAACGACATTAATTAAAACCAACCTTTCTCAATTGCAAAGCAGTTTAATGCATCTCTGACTTTTCAGATGATCAATGGTGTCAATAGTGTAGTTTAAGTCAACGTCAATTCAATATGTTGTATGATATACCCATCTGTTTTTTAACGGCTTACCAAAATTTAAACCTGTTAACCCTTGCTTTTATAAATCCGTTTTACTACCACAATAACCTAACGATTTCACGTATTTGTAAACAACTGCCTACACAAGATACTGAATATCTGTTGATCGAGCAACAGCCTACCGTGAGAAGGAATAAAGCAGCTTCTTGCTGAAGTAAAAAATAAGGCAAGTGCTGAGTTGGAATTCTGGAAATCAACAGAAACGTGGATAGTTTAAAAAACGCAATGCATCGTGGCATACAATGGACAATGTATCATTAGAAACAATTTCATTGTTGATCAATTCACGAAATTACGGATTGATTGTTTATCTCACTACAGACTGTGATACTTGAGGAGACAACAGTTTGATTAATGTCGACAACAATCTTAAATGCAACAAAACACCCCCACTGTACTATTTGTGAGTATCACTCAGACACAAATATTGCTGACTTATTTAGCTGAAATTATTACTCATTTACTAAAGTGTCAACTTTTGTTCATTCATCAGTTTTCTATTCTCAAATTAAATACAATATACACTCGGCATTATCTTATCACAGAGATTTAATTGTATGTTGCAACACAAATGACGATTACAATTACAAGCTCAAATGATATGTGAAATTAATTCATTGAAACAGTTACATGTAAGTCAGTCCTCTCTTTGTGGATTAGATTTTAGATATAACAATCACTGTTGTAATTAGAAATCTGATTCAAGAAACCGTTCTCAATCTTCAACAGTATAGTTTTCATGAAGTGCATTGTGTTTCTGTTATTACAATCGTTGTCAACTTCAATCTACCTAACTAAATACATTCACTTTCATTTCTACGTAACCAAAAGAAAAATTATCCACTTTTGATGTGAAAATTTATTAACTGTCTGGGGTCTAATATAGTGGTGAAATGGAATGGTTTTGGCTTTTCTCAGAAGTTACAAATTCATCTGAAAGTAATCTAGTCCAATCTGAATAATAATTGATAAGCAGATCGACAGTGGATTCTCCATGCGTGGACATTGACTTCTTTAATTTTAAGAGATAGGGTTCAGGACCTTGTACATCAGCATCAGGCCAATACTCCTTTGGCTTTTTCAAAAAACGCGGACCTTCCTTCCATATCTTGACGTCATCGATGTTGATCTTCATCCCTCAGAATGCGAAGTCTGCTTTATTCTCCTTAGAAGGTACGAATCTCCATTGGTCCACTTTAGTAAGACTGTGAATAGTCGAAATTCGGTTTGCTATGAATGTTTTAAACTGGTTTTTCACATTTCTAATATAATGTAAGACAATCATGGAATGCGTCCAAAATTTAACCTCTGCAAACTTAATATCTAACTCGGACTGCAGCTGTGACCCCATACGCGCTGCTAACAATGCTGCCGTAAGTTCCAAGCGCGGTGTATTTTGAACCTTCAAGGGGGTTACTCTTGCCTTAGCCGTAATAAGACGAGAACATATTTCAGTGTCATGGATGTAAGAGCGGACGTATGCCACTGCACCATATCCAGTTTCTGAAGTATCACAGAAAATATGAAGTTCGAGGAGCGAACGATCTGATTGTGGAAACAATACACAACGTGGAAAACTAACGTTCTCAACCTCGTGAAATTCACTTGAAATCTTTAACCAGCGTTTGCTTTCATCACGTGGAATCTATTCGTCCCATCTTAGTTCCAATTTACCTAAACGTTGAAGTAACTGCTTCATAGGAAGTATAAACGGTGCTAACAATCCCAAGGAATCGTAAAGTGAGGAAACGGCTCCAAACGGATGAACTGTTAAACAGTATTCCTTAGCCTTTCATCTTTTATCACCGTCTTCCCATCACAATAGCGGAAACGCTCCCCTATCTTGTCTCAAGATCTTTACTTGAAGAAACATCTCCTCGATGTCAGCGGCTAATGCTACCAATTAAAATATTTACAGTGTTTGGTCCTGTCAAAAGCTGATCATTAAAAGAGAAACTTTGATCGACAGCTGCACAATCGAAAACAGTTCCCAATTTTCCAGGCTTTTAGAGTTGATAACAAGATGATGAAGAATATACCAACAAACAGCATCACGGTCAAATCCCTCCTTACTAGCTTCAACGATATAGCCCTTACTTAAATGTTTATTCATCACAACCTGATATTTCTCCAGAAGACTATTATTCTTCATAAACCTCTTCATTAAACGCTCTAGTCTACGTTCAGCTAGTTCGAAATTATTCGGTAGCCTTGGCTTATCATACTTCCACGGTAGATCAACTTGGAAATGGCCATCCTCCGATCTAAAGTACCTATTAACTATTTCTAGAGCTCTTTTATCTTCGACAGAATATCCATTACGAAACACATCTGCATCCTCAAACTCATGATTATATAATCTTTCTATATCTCGCTAAATATCATTAGTAGAACAATGACACCATTGAACTTGATGTAGAGACCTTGATACTCATTTAGGACCTAAAATCATCCAACCGAGATGAGTACGCACACCAAATGGATGTTTCCTGTCTCCCAGGCGTTGTTCCAGGACCTATTGTGCATCTGTAGCACCACATCTAATCGATATTCCTACAAATTCGAATAGTTAAATGAAAGTAAGTTTTTGATATTCTTCAGGTTGTTTTTTTTTGTTTTTTTTATTATTCCTACATATAATTTGTATTGATGATATTTTTATCAATATAATACACATTAAACAAATCAAACTGGTCAAATGTTTAATGTAAAGGAATATTGAACGAGATGTTTATATGAATAATTAAAGTCAATTAACTATCAAGTTATATTTGATGCATCTTTATACTTTTACTAACATGAATTTCTTTGAGACAAATTTAATTTCTCTAAAATATTGCATGCTGGAATAAAAGCCACAGCCAAACGAATCGGCGAGTGGTATGTATGCTCAAGTTAAGATACATCGTCACACTAGTTTCGCAGTAAGTCTTTTCTGTCACATTGATAGCAGGTTAAAGCATATACATGTCGATATTGTTGGATTGCTGCCAATTTCATATGGCTTTAGTTATATTTTCACCTGTATTGACAGATTCACGTGATGACCGATAGCAGTGACCATAAAAGACAAATTTCGTACATTTCGAATAAATATCACTTGTTATTAAAACTAGAATGAATTGCCTAGAACAAAGTTCGATGAGAAATTCTGATGGACGGCGTATGCTCCTCCATGAGGAGTAACTGGCATATGTAAGTAAGTAAGTAAATATATATTCTTAATGATTAATTACAATAATGAATTAAACACTTGATCAACAGATCAGAGATAATCTGAAAATGTAATAGTAAAATTAGCAAAAATGAAAACAATCGTTTAAATGGAAACGATTTGATTATTCCATTCATCATATGAATAATGATTAATGTAAATATAAATTGAGAAACCAATTTAGGATCAATATTAAACTCAGAATCAAAAGTACTAAGTCCGTAATAAGTAATTGAATAGATAATGATTGTGATCATCTTTTATTTACACCTAAAAGATCACTTCAAAAAAATGATCAATCAGATCAAAATCAAGGAGTAAGTGTCAATTAATCACGATGTAGGATTTAAATCCAAATAAAATATTTGATGAATTTATAGAATAGCTGCATTCAAAGTAAGACAATTTTACTTAGTGGGGAGGAGGAGGAGGGGAGAATAAAAAATTGAAATGCGGGAAACAAAATACTTCATTATATATCTCAGAAAATAGAATTCAATCATTAATCCTAATGTAATGTACAAGGATGAAAAAACGTAATGTGACAATCAGTAGTCAAGGTATATGGGTACAAAAACAACAACAACAACAACAATAGCAACAATAACCAACTTCTATTTTGTTGCCATAACTAGTGATGTTAAATCAGTTGGTGGTTTTAAATGAACATTTCGTTGTCGAGTTAAAAATGATAAATTATTTTCTGTATTACATGATGATACAAAATTATTCAATTTATCAACAGAACTATTACAATTTTGTTTTAAATTAGATTCAATGGTATTTTTAGTTGATTTAATCACTAAATTATACCATGCAGTTAAAAGAATACGTTCTTCAGTTTCACGATGACGTCTTATCTGTTCATGATGAGTCTATATTATAAACATTAAAAAAAAAAACACAATTCACAATCAACAAAAGTTAACACTATTCAATTTCATTATCGATTTATCTATTGGGAGTCTGCAAGAACTCCTCAAATGCTTAGAAATCGTTGAAAGTACTTCATTTAATCAACATTCAATAGAAATTTTACAGAAAAGAAAATAACGATAGATTACGTCATAATCGGTTTTAGTACATCTAAAATATTAAGATCCAACATAAAGCGGTAAATATTCTTGTTTTCTGTCCTTAAACCAAGCTTAGAGTTAAAGCTTTTTTGTCCTATTTAAAAGAGTTTAGGTAGATCAAATTGTGGAAAGATTAGGTAAAGTTCAAGTACCGGATATATAAGTAGCTGAAGTGAATGGTTTCCGACTAATCAGCTCATATTGAATGTAAATTTCACAATGTAAATAACGAGTAATATGAACCATTTATTTCACTGGAAACGGATGAACAAAAATAATGATGCATTAAATATATTTACGTACAGAAAAGTGCCCTGGTATGGCCGAGGGTGAAGTGGAACCGTCCACCCTCTCGAAATGCTCTCACACGGCCACGCGTACACAGCCTCTGTCAGGGAAGTCTTACCCACTGTTTTTTTCGTGGCAGGGGTGTTGGTTACGAAAATAAGAGGACGGAAAGCGAATTTCCGGCGCTTTAAAGGGATCTCAAACCAATGGTTTACATGGGCTCCAGTATCCTAAAGGAAGAAATGGTGCATGAACCAATTGTCAGTCACCGGCTACCATGGGACTGCATCTCCTCACTATGCTCCACTGCCTTGTGGGTTAGACCCTCAGGTCAAAGGCTCGGGGTGTGGCCCACTAAGAAAACCACCGGCTTCGTTCTGGGCACCCTCACATACATCAAATGAGATTAGTGTGGCGCATATATATTTGGTGCCCTCTTGTACCAATATTTATGTGTTCAAATAAATAAATAAATAAACGGGAAAGTGTGCAATAAATTAATGAATAAATAGATGACAAAGAATATATACACAGCAATCTAAGATAATAGAAAAATTGTTTATAGATCAAGATGAACAGTTCGAAGGTCTTGAATGCACCGGACTGGATGGTTTGTTCAGGAAGCTTTGATTATCTTCCCAAACAATCACCAGCACATATTTTCATAAAATCTCTTCATCGAGACGATTTTCAGAATGCGTACACTGGGTAAGTTGAATTGAAATCTCGAATGAAGTATTAGCGAATATAGAAACTACAAATATACATTATTGCCGACAAATATCGACTAATAGGTCTAATCATCAAGTCAGTAGAATAATGACAGAGAATGAATTTTTGTCAATGTGCCAGAACACACATTGCCTAACCAAAACATTATTAACATGCTATCAACGTAAGATGTTAACAATTGAAGCAAGCAATAAGGATTAGATACAGATAGTAGCGAAACAACATCAGCTGTCAAAAAACAAAGTTTAACAAGTATAAAGTAGACATGTTTTCACTGGCGCTATGTAAACTCAATTTTCTACAGCAAAACTAACATCGAAACAGTGCCATAGATGAACCAGATTAGAGAAAACATCTTCAACCTCTTACATAACTAACCAAGTACATGAACTGCTTTTAACAGATCATCACAAAAAGTGAATACAGAAGTACCTATTAATTGTAAAGAAATTCATTTGGTTCTAGGGAGAACAACAAATTGACTCATGATCTCAACTATTGAAATTAATACAATCTCGACAAAACCCCTTCTGTTACTAATCAACATATGCTCACTAGTGACTGACTTCAAGAGGTATATATCCTGGAGTTCTAGTGAGAAACAGTGACTAGTGGAGTTCAACCAGGTCAGTTGTGAGATAGTAACTCACTCATGAAAATGGTAGATGTGTCGCTCAATTTTGTGGATTAGTTGAAGTTACACATTACCACAATTGGATACCTGTCAGCTCAGTTGTCTAGTTGGTTAAGCGCTCACGCGCGAGACTGATAGGTCCTGGGTTCGAGTTTCGTGTGGCAGGGTCATGGATGAGCACTGTTGAAAAGTCTGACAATAAGACAAAACAATCGTTTAGTACTTCCAGGTTTTCCATGATGGTCTAGCTTCAATTGACTCATGATTTCAACTATTCAAAATTACTTACAATCTCTATAAAACCCCTTTCTGATACAAATTACCAATATGTGAAATTATTATTATAATAAGAATAGTAAACAACACCAATTTACCTCTAATTTCTCAATAACACGTTCTTTTTCAACTAATAATGCACGTAAATACTGAATCTCTTCATTTATCTTATCAGTATTAGTAACATCAGTAGTACTATGATTATTATTATTCATATTAATTATTATTTTCTCTTTATATTTTGGACAATCATGTTGATGTTGTCGATATTGACGTTCTAACAATCGAATTACTTCATGTGCTTTCCATAAATAACCACGATATTTTTGTTCCATTTCAATAAAATCTGTTTCTTTTTGAGTTAATTTTGTCATTAAATTTGTATAGAATATTGTAGTGGCAGATGGATTACACATGTCTTTATCAATATGAATAGGATAAGAATTTGTAGATAATGGTTGTAAAATATGTATACTAGAAGAATCATTATTATTGACAGTGAATGTATTGTAATTATTCTTATCAACAAAACCAATGTCATTATCTAATATATCAGTCGTCATCGTTGTTGTTGTTGTCGTCGTCGTAGTAGTAGTATTAGTAATATCGCTGCCAACTTCATTCATACTATTATCACTATTCACACCACTAACATACATTGATGTACGTAAACGACATAATTCTTCTTGTAAATTTAACATTTGTGATTCCATTGCTGATGTACCATCTAGAAAACAAAATAATGGAAAATAGTTTACATAAGATTATAATGAATATTATACTAACAAAGAAAAATATTGATTTCTAAAGTAATAAAGGAGAGAATAAGTGCAGTAAAATTAATAAGCAACTGAATAGAAATAGTAGTGTGGTGTGTGCTACTTATGTAGACATAAGTAGTATATGATGTTAGTCGTGAACAGAATGTCTGGCAGCAGAGAGACAAGAAGACCGAACAGTAAAGAAGGAAAACAGAATGCAATTTGTGTGCAAATGCAAGAACAAAGGAAGTCTGAGTCATTTGAGACAATGGATGATCATTTTACAAATTGATCATTTGATATATGATTGTTAGATTTTACTAACTAGTTCTGTAATTTGTTGTTAAATACATTCGATTGTCCCCATTGGTGTTCTTGTTCATTACAGTAGTTAGTTAAAAGTTTTATTTTAGTCAGAAATGTAATAAAAGAATAATCAACTCAATATCATCATCACGTGAAAGAGTATGTAATAAAAACAATACAATATAATAGATAAATCGATGTCCATAATTTCTATTCTAAGCTATTTACTTGAATACATAAATATTGGTACAAAGGGGCACCATATATATATATATATATATATATATATATATATATATATATATATATATATATATATATGCGCCACACAATAATAATGAGAAGATATAAAGAATGTAAGATGAGTATAAGAAAAAAGTACAGTTCAATTAGCAAAAGTACAGCCAAAGAAAATACTATCACTTAAAGAGGTTACATTTTTTTAATGAAGTACTTAAAATAAAGTTACAGCAGAACCTCAATTAGCTTCTTTTCTGAGACATATATGATAATGTCTCAAGCTATTGTGTTACACCATCTCTAGCACCTCAACCAGGGATTCATGAAGGACCGCCAGAAGCCATTCCTGAATAGCTTTCCTTTATACCGCGACACCATGTCATACACCGAACACCTCTTCGCCGTTTCCAACCAGTCCAACCGTCGGCAAGTAATGCATGATGTGGAATTCTCTGGGACGACATTGAATGGAACAATGAAGAGATGTGGTTGTATGCCCTCACTCTACCTGAGGTGGCTGTATATAGAGCTTTTAAGATGTTAATAAACTTCTCAGGCACACCATTTTTTAATAGACAATCACAGAGAACAGTCCTGTCCAACGAATTGAAGGCAGTCATGATGTCAAAAAGCACTACGATTGTTGGCCTGTGACGGTATTCTAACATTTGGTGGAGGGTGAAGATAGGATCAATAAATCTTCGACCACAACGAAAACCAGACTGCTCCTCGCGAGTCAATTTTTACGGAGTTTTAAACAATCTACGAAGAATGACGAAGGCCAATAGTTTGGACGCAATCAGAAGTAGACTTACCGCCGATAGTTCTTGCATACGTGACATGAATTCTTTTCACAGATAAGGTCAATTATCGACTCATTTCACGATGTTGGAAAACACTCTGTCTCTTAAACCTTTGTGAACAACTCAAACAGTTCCTTAATCAGAAAGTCACCACTATCTATAAAAAAAGGGCGGAGGTAAGTCAACTGGACCCGGTTATTTGTAGCACATAAAACAAGCCTTTTGAAGCGACAGATGGCGAACGAATTTGTGGCACATGACTAGAGTCTTGAATACGGGTCTCGGATAGACAACAAACGTCGACATTAAGACTTTCTAAAGACATAGCCAGCCCTATCTGTCGACCGATCTGCGTTAGTGTGCGAAATGTGAAGGAGACCAGTTTGAATGGCATAAGTGGTTTTAAAAAGACTGTTTCAGTATTCGCAATCAGTAGTAGCATTCAAATTCTAACTAGTCAGTAACATGAGATCGTTTAGACAGGACAGAGTTTCCACCATAGGCGAGCTGCTGAACAAGTTGGATAATAAAATACGCAAAATGAGATTAAAGGGAAATACATAAGTGACGTAGCATAAAAGAAATAGAAACGAATGTTAGCAAACGGTTGTATGATTTGTCCACAAGACAGTAAATCGACGTCAGAAGATGCGATCACATGGTGGCCGGTGACCAATAAATGGGCTCATAAGCTATTTGTTCCCTCAGAATCCTAGAACCCATGTACTCCATTGGTTTAGAATCGGGGTTTTCCAACCCCCATAGGTGGATCCTCCGTATCCACCGACTCGATTAAAGAGCCGGACATTCGCTTTTCGTCCTCTCAATTTCATAAACAACACCCCTGCTATACTGTAATAAGTTAAGTTATACAATAACCACAAATTAACTCAAATTAGACACGTGAGTAATCAGATAACAATTGATACAAATGCTAATTTTTCAGTTCAAGATCTGAAGATCCTGGGTTAGATGATTGATAAGGTCTTAGATGACCTCTACTAAGAAGCACAATATAAGTATAGGGACGACCCCCTGTTAACTCAATGAAGCTCATAAAGGGCGAAAGACATTCCATCCAATCATGTTTTCAAAGATCATTCCAGAGTCTAGTGCTCAATGGTTGTCTGATTTAAATCGGTTCATGATTCCAACAATTTCCAACTACTGAATAGCTCAATGATGAACATAATTATTTTTCTCAGCATCAAAAAAGCAACACAGTCCCAAAATTAGTGACGTCTAACCCAACACGATGAAATTAATTAATGTACACCGTCCACAGTTGAGCGAAAACTTATGTTCAACACTATATTGCATGCAACCTGTAGGTTTGTTCATCTGCATGACTCAATAACGAGAAGTCGAGTTCAATGCCACAGAATGTGTCATTGATTCATCTGATTCCAGGCACAATAAACTATACCTCGTAGAAATACTTCTCTTTTAGATAAACTTTCAATTAGTCAGTTAATATCCAGTAGTAGCAGCTACGCTAACCTGATGATCAAGCTTGCCCATCGTGATGTGATTCAGGTGAGTATGTTGACTAGAACGTCGGCATCTTAAGGTATGACTACGCCAAGCAGTCTGATGAAAGGGTAATACAATTTCAGGTACGCAGGAAAAGTTCTACTACCAACAGCATAGAGATGTGACATAATTGGGGTATTAAACTGAAGCAACCAGAATCTGGAGCGACGCTGCCTTCCCATACCTTATCCTGTACCATTGGTTTTCGCTGTCAATGGTAGGAGTCTGGAAATTGAGGATCTAACGTATGAAAAGCGAATCACCGTAAAGAGGCCATGTTATATCCGAACGAAGAATAAACGAACGGTAACTGATAGGGATTATTCATAGAGTCTATGGCAATGGTTCTAAGTTGACAAGTTATACTTGTTTAAACAATATAAACGTTGGAGACACCAGATATTTATTCTGAGATACTACCCGAGCAAACAAAACGAAGTAAGTACTTTTCTTAGGAAGCCGCACCTCGAGTCCTTCGCCTAAAGATCTAATCCACAAGGCAGTGGAGCAACGTCAAGTGATGCAGTCTCTCGGTAGACAATCAACAACAGTAGATTTATACGTCATTTGTCATCTCAGCATCCTAGAGTGCATGTGCACCATTGGTTTGGAATCAAGGTTTTCAACTCCTATAAGTGGATCTTCCATATCTACCAACCCGGACATTTGGTTTTTGTCCTCTCCATTCCATGAACAACACCCTCGCCACGAGAAGGTAGTGAGCAGGAATTATTTGACAGTGGCCGTAAACGCGTGGCCATGTGAGAGTATTCTGAGGACGGATGATTCTCCGCACTTTCGTTTGTGCATACAACATTTGGGGCCCGGTTGATAAGACCACTAATCTGAATTCAGTTACCGTTTCAAGTCCTTCAAATCACACATCGTTCAAAAGTATGCGTAACCCGAAAGTGACGACCGCCAGTATTCGAGATCACTAGACATTAAAATGTATGGAATAAATGCGAAATTCATTCACGAAGTACCCATCGATTAGTAGGATATGTTTTTTATTCAAAAAGGTAATTACTAAGTCGATTCCACAGGACAAACTTACAATTTGATGTTTTTGCACATGATTGAAGACCTTCACAACAAGATTTAAGACGAGTAAGTTCAGAGAAGATACACTGAAAAATAATGGAGAAGCAGAAATGGAAACGTGCTAAAGTATTAATATATTTGTTATGTAAGAATGAATATATTTCCCATTGATATATAAACATAACAGACGAAATAAACGTTTGAGACATAACCAGGCATTTTTAAATGAACATATACATGTATGGATCGAAGAAGTAATCTCATAGGCAAAACAAAATTAGGCTCAAAACATTAAAAGATGCCATTCATTTATATTCTTAATGTCGTTTGTTGTATAAAATAGAGATGGTTGGGCCACGTGTTGCGTATGCCTGAACACCGATTACCACGACACACAATGCTAATCGGTGTTGCGGATAATTGGAAGAAAGTTAGGAGCGGCCAAACCAAAACGTGGCATCAGTCCACAAACTCACTAACTTCTAGTCCGAGCCATGTTGGTAGATGCAGACTACCTGGCTGGGGTCAGCGTGATTATCATAACCAATGGTTGGAGACTCTTGGTGACATGGCTCAGAATCGATCACAATGGCGTAGCTGTATACACTCTCTGTCTTCCTTTAAACTAAGAGATTAAAATCGGGTCATATCTTTCTTCCTGTACTATATCCTTATATGGAATCTTTCTTTTATATATCACCACCATTGACATAACCACTCCTATGAATCCGGTGTTCATCTTGCTGTGTAATGCTGTATGGCAACTTGAACCGATGAATATATGTGCCTTGCCCTACGTTGTAGCTGACATGACTTTATCTGATTTCCCGTCATAGTCCCAATAAAGTGTTCAATTAATTTTACTATAGTGCTGTCAAAGTTATAATATTTCTAGAATACTTGATATGAGGCCAGCAGTCGGACACAGAACGCGAGTTTTGTCTGACTCAAAGCTCGTCAGAAAGGTATACTTTTTTGCCTCAATGGACGATACTCATGTTGAGACTTAAAACTAGTATTTTTTCGATTCAAACACCCAACGCATTATTCACTAACATGCTAAGTTCAGATAGACACTAACATGTTCCAAGAATATAAAGGTATTCACAAAGATTTGTAATTTCCCACTTTTGATATCCTTCACCTCAATTGATTTGTTTCGTTAAAAAAAGCCTATCAATATCAACAATCAGTTTGATAATTCCACATGTAATGTAGACAAATGTAGCCTAAATATCAAGACATATTAATTAATTAGTATTATCCTGATCGATTTAAACCAAGAAAATGAGAAACAAAGTAAATAATATCGTGGATGAACATTGTTGACGAGCCCACACCCAAGGAAGAAACGATAGTTCACAACTCTCTCTCTCTCTCTCTCTCTCTCTCTATATATATATATATATATATATATATGGTAATATCAGAAGTACTTTGAGAATTGTCAAGAAATATTCAATGATATCTATAATATATCAAATGCTTTATCAAACTGAAAAAGGAAACAAACATACCTCTTTTTCACGATTTACATTAATTAATTCTTGTCGAATTTTTAATAAATTATCTTCAGCTAATTCAGCACGTTTTATTGCTTCATTTGCTATGAATTGTGCGTCTTCTATTTGTAAACGTGCTTGAGCTTTCACTTTTGATCGTATATTCCCATCTAAACGTGTTTCTTGTTCTAATTCAGTTAAACGTTGTACACAAATTTGATTATCAGTTTCTAATTGTGAACAACGTAAACGTAAACTAACTACTTCATCAGCATGTTTACGTAATTGTTCAATAGTTGTAGATAAACGTAATATATTAGATGCTTCTTCACGAGCAATATCTAATTCATCTTTTAAATGAATACTTTCTTCTGCTTTTGCTGTTAATATGGTACACTAAAGTAGTAGAAAGATTGAGAGAAAGAAAGGATACAACAACAAGAAGACAGTTGAATAAAGCATACATATGCATGATAAACATTTCAATGTATTAATGTTTCGTTGTAATATGTTAATTTAAATCACTTACCAAGTGTTTTTTGTTGAATTCTACAGTTTAGAACATGGATTGATCATAGCTAGATGACCATTGAAAACAAAAAATCATTGGATAGTATAAAACTTCTAAAATGTAGTATACATACATGACCTCAGGAAGGATTCAACCTAGCATCATCATATTTAACAGATGTCTTCATATTTAATGACTGCCTTACAAACGATCCATTCATATAACAGCTGGCTTTCAGGTGTCAAACAGTTGCATACACACGTGTTCTAACTTATTAATACAACTACTTGGTGAATAAACAGAAGTATCTAGAACAATATTGAAATCTAGAATCTAATAATTGAGAACTGAATCATTTAAGTATTTAACTACTGTCTAACTTAATGTAAAGCAAATTATTCAATTATGTCATTACTATACTGATATTCTAATCATTTGAGTGATATAATCAAATCACAGTTCAGTGCCCCCAAATGCCCTAGTACGGCCGAGAGTGGGGAGAATCCGCTCTCCTTCTCGAAATGCTCTCACATAGCCACGCGTATACAGTCTCTGCCAGGGAAGTCCTACTTACTACCTTCTCGTGGCAGGGGTGTTGTTTACGAAAATGAGAGGACGAAAAGCGAATGTCCGGCGCTTTAACCGGATCCCAAACCAATGGTGCACATGGGCTGGCTCCAGTATCCTGAAGGAACAAATGGCGTATGAACCAATCGTTGGTCACCGGCTACCATGGGACTGCATCTCCTCACGATGCTCCACTGCCTTGTGGATCAGACCTTCAGGTCGATGGTTCCGGGTGATAAGTTTGCTTACATTGTTCCTACTCGTTTCCTTTCCACTCTTTTGTATATTGTTTTGTACTACTTATTTACATTCAGTAAGCAGTTGTATTCCCAACAATTTTACACTTATGTTGTAACGCAAGTTGTAGCGTATTATTCTGAATTATTAAAATATATTTATGACGTTTATTGTACTTATCATTATAATTACTGTATCTTATATACTGTAACGTTTATCCACAGTTTCGTGCATTTGTTTAAACGCAACAGTCTCCATAATGTTTTGCTCTTGGTTCGGGTTTCGGTTGTTCATAAACTGCTATCAAATTTAAACACCGCTATCAGCCGTCCTTTGTGCTATCGTATGTTATAATTATTCTTTATGTTACTGTTACAGGAAGCCTTTTTATCTTTATACTTGAAGGACGCGTTTAAACGCCACAGACACCTCACAAGTTGAGGTATGTTACTAAATTTTGTGTATTATTCAATAAAAAACAGCTATTGTAGACAAATCGTTGTTTTGGAACTTCAGTTTCGCGTGTATCTCAATCAGACGAACTAGACGCTTTGATAGATCTAACACTGTGTATGGCCGTCTAAGAAAACCACCTGCTTCGGTTTGGGCACCCGAGCAGTATTACAGCCCTCACACGAATCAAATGAGATTTGTGTGGCGCATATGTATGTATTACATTTCAGTATTATTCAAAGGAACAGAAGTTTTACATAGAAATGATCAATTTCTATCACAGATATTTTCATCTTTACAGGATTTTTTTGATATATAACCATTTCTGTTACATGTTTCCTTGATATATTTTGACTCAAATCCAGTATCTTTCAATTGATAAACTATTGAGTTATCCACTGATCGACTGAGTCTAATTATATAGAATTGGTTGATTAAAAATACTTTTTATAATGAGCAATCATGACAGTATAGATAGTTAAGAAGATCATAGTAATTTGTATGAATGAAGAGGATATTATACCCTGTCTGATATATGTATATCTGCACCATAGAATGTAATTACACATTTTCTCTTTCGGTTAAGAAACAATATTGTATCTTGTATTAAATCCAATTAGAAAGTTATCAAATTACAATCATGTACAGTCAAACATAATATAATTAATCGTTTCAATCACTCAGTCGTGAAAATATTCAAAATTAATTACATGTGATTTCAACATAAACTCATATACATATCTATCTTTATCTCTTTGACACTAGATGATGGAATTTATATTCTACTTTGAGTTGCACATGCTGTCTGACGTTATGTTTCAGAAGAAATCGATGACTTTATAACGTTAATAACATTCAATAAAAATCAGGAAATAGTGGAAGACTGTTTCGTCCAAACAAAGGACTCCTCAATAGCAGTGAATCGGGACTTTACATAAAAATAGCAGCTGAAACTAATGATCTTTAGATTGAGTAGTAGTAGTAGTAGTAGTAGTAAGTGTATAACTCTTAGATCAATTCTGAGTAAACGAATCAAAATACTTTACACTATTCAATTGAATATTTAAAAAAATTGAACATTGATAACTATTAAGTGCTTACTTTTTGTTTTAATTCAAGATTTTGTGCAGTGATTTCGGTTAGTTGAATTTTCAATTCTTCTTTATCTAGTGCAATGAAAGTAAACCGAAAAAAGGGAAAATCAATTTATCCTATTTTATGTAGTTTTACACAAAGTTAAACCAAGTATCTTTGTAAAATATGAAAATCATGCAGTAAATACATCATTAGCATATCTTCTTCTAGTTGTCCTTTACATATTCCATCATTCTTTCAATCCAGTTATTATTCCAATTACCTTCTCTTTTTTTGTTTGTTTGCTCTTCAATTTATTCCAATATTCTAATGATAAGCATTTCAATTTGAATTTCTGTGATATACTACTATTGTTTGTATAAGTAACACACATCATATTCACACAAGTGTGTATATCGATCCACATTACCATAACGCGGATAAATGCCCCCAAATGCCCTGGTACGGCCGAGAGTGGGGAGAGTCCGCTCTCCCTCTCGAAATGCTCTCATATGGCTACGTGTATATAGCCTCTGCCAGGGAAGTCCTACTCACTGCCTTCTCGTGGTGGGGGTGTTGTTTGCAAAAATGAGAGGACGAAAAGCGAATGTCCGGCGCTTTAACTGGATTTCAAACCAATGGTGCACATGAGCCCCAGTATTTTGAAGGAACAAATGGCGTATGAACCAATCGTTGGTCACCGGCTGGCTACCATGGGATTGCTTCTCCTTACGATGCTCCACTGCCTTCTGGGTCAGACGTTCAGGTCGAAGGCTCGAGGTGTGACCCCCTAAGAAAACCACCTGCTTCGGTTTGGGCACCCGGGCAGTAACACAGCCCTCATACAAATCAATTGAGATTTGTGTGGCGCATATGTATTTGGTGCCTCCTTGTACCAATACCTATGTGTTAAAATAAATAAATAATAAATAATAACGCGGATAAATACAGTGAGTTGATATTTCCATATCACATAGCAGGGTAGTAGAGTTAGTAAATAGTATACCAATGATAATAGAAAAGATTAAACATTGAATGCCCTAGTATTTAAATCAAAAGTCTTGAGTGTTGAGTCGAGGGCAACACAGTTAGAGTTTTATACTATAACGAAACAGCCATTCAGTACTTCGCAGCTTCCAATAGTGACCTGACATAGATCGGTTCATGAGTTCAGTCGCATTTACTGATTATTTGGACAATAGCATCAGCATAAAATTAAATAAATATAAGCTGGGTAAATTTCATTACAATTGACTAAAAGCACCTTGTTTTGTCAATACTAACTTCGATTGATTCGATCACTGTCCTTTCATTGTCCACACATTTTATTTTCATTGACTTCTTTATTTGATCTGATTCTAAGTTTAACAGTGCTTTACGATTTGATCGAACATCTTTTTTACAAAAGTAAACCGCAAGAAATATTACAGTGGAAAGATAAGAGAACAAACAAACAATAAAGCAAACTGTTTGTTTAAGGAGCAGTTCAGCTGGTCTTCAGCTACTCTACAACTACCCACCATTCCCAGACAGTCTGAATGGAACATTGAAGTAGGTGTTCCAACTCTAGCTGAAGTTCGAAAGGCTATAGTTAATCTAAAACGAGGAAGGGCAGCAGGTCCAGATGGATTGACTCGACGTCTTTACGGATGGTGGTCCAATTTTACCGACTAATATTCTAGCTAAAATATGGGACTTGGATGTTTTTCCCCTCTGACTGGTCACAATCACTTATCGTCCAAATATTTAAGAAAGGATCAAAATCATCCTGTGACAACCACAGAGGGATAAGCATAACTAATATAGTATCTAAAATACTAGCCTCGATAATTATCAGACGTCTAACTAAGACTCGTGAACTGCAAACACGAGAAAATCAAGCTGGCTTCAGACCTGTTCGTCGATGCATAGATCAAATATTCACCATTCGTGAGGTTCTAGAACACAGGCATACTTATTGGCATCCGACAATGGTGGTTTTTCTTGACTTAAAAGCAGCATGACTCGGTAGACCGAGAGGTTCTGTGGCAGTGTCTGTCATTGAAAGGCGTACCTCAGAAGTACATAAACCTTGTGAAGGCTCTTTACTCGAACACTACTAGTCGAGTCAAAGCTTATGGAGAACTGTCATCCGCTTTTGCAACCTCAAGTGGTGTCCGTCAAGGCTGTCCACTTTCTCCATTTTCGTTTAACTTCATCATAGATCTACTGATGGAAATAACGCTTTCATCGACTGAATTCTCGGGTATTGATCTCCTACCAGGAGGTCCGCTTATTGACTTAGAATACGCAGATGACATAGTCCTGTTTGGTGAAGATGCTGATAAAATGCAGAGTCTTTTGTTAGCACTGAGCAACAATGCCCGCATGTTTGGGATGCGCTTCTCTCCCTCTAAATGCAAGTTGTTGCTTCAAGACTGACCTGCGTCAACACCTGAACGAATTCGAAAAGCTCGTTTGACCTTTGCCAACTTACGACACCTATGGCGAAGGCGAGATATCCGTCTATCAATTAAGGGACGAGTATACTGCGCGGCAGTTCGTTCCGTTCTACTATACGGCTGCGAAACATGGCCATTAAGAGTAGAAGATACTCGTTAATTACTAGTATTTGACCACAGATGATTTAGAAATATTGCTGGTATCTGCTGGGACTACCAGGTAAGTAATAGTGAGGTTAGACGCACGGTATTAGGGAATGATCTTAAATCAGTTGATCAGGTTATGAATCTTCAACGACTGAGATGGTTGGGCCACGTGTTGCGTATGCCTGAACACCGATTACCACGACATGCAAGGCTAACCGGTGTTGCGGATAATTGGAAGAAAGTTAGGAGCGGCCAAACCAAAACGTGGCATCAGTTCACAAACTCACTAACTTCTAGTCCGAGCCATGTCGGTATATGCAGACTACCTGGTTGGGGTCAGCGTGATTATCATAACCAATGGTTGGAAACTCTGTATGATATGGCTCAGAATCGATCACAATGGTGTCGGTGTATACACTCTCTGTCTTCCCTTAAACTAAGAGATTAAAATCGATTCATGTCTTTCTTTCTACGTACGAAATCTTTCTTCCTGTACTATATTCTTAGATGCAATCTTTCTTTTATATATTACCATCATTGAATTAACTACTTCTATGAATCCGGTGTTAATCTTGCTGTGCTAATGCGGTATGGCAACTTGGACCGACGCATGTATGTGCCTGGTCCTACGTTGCAGCTGACTGACTGTTTGTTACATACGGGGATATTTGAATAGTTCACTGCTATATGAAGATTGTGCTGATGGCAATAATTTCGTTTGGAAATAAAATGAATACGATTAGACTATCGAGATCAGAAAACACAACTCCATTTAAATCTTCTAAGTGACCTACAAACCATGTCCTCCATTTCAATGAATATTTCGTGTTATAAGTTGTAACATGATGTGCACTACTTATATGGATAAATATAAATAGTACAAGACAGGAATGGGAAATAAAATGCTTATCAGTAGAAAATGGGAATAAGGAGAAGAGGAAAGAAAAAAGAAGGCAATCAGAATAACAACTGGATTAGAAGAATGATGGAATATGTAAAGGACAACTGAAGGAAGATACGCAAATGATGTATTTAATGCATGATTTTCATATTTTACAAAGGAACTTTTAGACTTTGAGTAAGACTACATAAGAAGGAACGAATTGATTTTCCTCTCCTGAACATTCGTTCACTACAGTACAAATAGAACTTAGTTTGAACAACCTTTGGGAAACAGGGCACACTATACAACTATTTTATCTCAGTATGTTAATTGTTAGAAGTGAGTGTCCGCAACTTTCCCAGAGACTTAGAGGTTATATTACTTACTTACTTACTTACACCTGTTACTCCCCGTGAAGGAGCATAGGCCGCTCAATAGCATTCTCCATCCAACCCTGTCCTGGGCAATCCTTTCCAGCTCTTTCCAGTTCTTATTCATCCTTATCATATCTGTTTCTGTTTCCCTACGTAATATGTTCTTTGGTCATCCTCTTTTCCGCTTCCCTGCAGGATTACAAGTTCGGGCTTGCCTCGTGATGCAGTTTGATGATTAGCGTAATGTATATCCTATCCAACACCGACTGCAGCTCTTCTACAGTTACCGCCGGTCCCAAGCCCAGGTAAAGGAGGTGGGTTGGGCATGGAGTAAGCGACACCATCCAGTAGAAAACTAACTCGCTAAGAAAAACGCTGACCAGAAAAATTAATTCAAACCACTTAACTCTATCTTGGGAGTTAGGTCTTCATTTAGAAGAACTATGACGCCTCATGGTGAAAGCCGAGTTCCTTCGGAAGCAACAAGTTTTATGGGTACATGGAACGTCCGGACAACGTGAGATACCGGAAAGACCAGTCAAATAGCAACGGAAATGAGGAGATACCACTTAGCAGTACTGGAAATCAGCGAAACTCATTGGACGCAAGCTGGACAACAAAGGCTAAATACGAGAGAGATGCTGCTATACTCCGGTTACGAAGAGGAAAATGCTCCACACACCCAGGGAGTTGCTCTAATGCTGTCCAAAGTAGCACGAAATGCACTTGTAGGATGGGAATCTCCATGCTCAACCCACCTCCTTTACCCGGGCTTGGGACCGGCGGTACTTAAATCCGACAATTTCCAGAAATCGTCAGTCTAAAAATTCTTAAATAAACGATATCCGTAGGATAACACTAGTTGACGGGTAGGACAGAGGAAGAAATCACACTGCCGTATAAAATCTTCGATGTTTTGAATGCATCATATGATAGGTTGAACTATTTGGTGGGAAATACAACCTAATGTAAGAAAAAAGGCGAACATGTTCATTGACACTGTCAAGTCAGAGAAAGTCAATTACCTGAGGTCCTCAATTCAGTTAAAAACAGACAACAATATAAGGTGTGTCGCGAAATGACAGACGGTAAAAATTCAAACCACCAAATGCAACACCGTGAGTTCTAAGGTTCAACACTTGCATCCGTCGAGGGCTGGAGTTTTTAGATTTAATCTCTATTTTTATCGTGTATATGCACTCATGCAATAGTCGAAAGTAAAATGAAACAGCTTCCTAATGCATTATGGTTTTCAGTGGATATATCCAAGAAGAGTCAAACATTGATGAAGAAACTATAAAATTCCACAATCAATACAATCTTCTACACACACGGTTGCACAGTATCGTAGATTAGTTGCAGCTAAACATTAACTCTGTTGGAGGCGAGCTCAGTGGTCTAGAGGTTAAGCGTTTGTGAACAAGACCGAAGGTCCCGCGGTTGAGTTACACAATGTAGAATCGTTGGTGAGCGCTACAGAAGAGTCTCATACTAGGATGAAACGGCCATCCAGTGCTTCCATGTTTCAATAATGATCTATTATTGATCCATGATATCAATCGAAGCTCAACTATCTCCACAACCCAATACAGATGATTACTCAAAGGGGAAATTAAGTCATTTATGTGAAATACAAACAACTAAATAACAGAGAGCAAGTGAAACAGACAGAAAAGCAACAAAAAAATCTTACCACACTCAGTTCTATACAATTCATCACGTAATTTACTTAATTGATTTTGCAAATGATTTATCCGTAAATTAGCTATGGTTGGACTCATAACAAGATTATTACTACAAGCAATTGCTGAAATTGAACTAGCAGGTTGATTTAACAATTCTGTATTGATTGAATTTAAGTCACTTTCAATTGATTCAACTCCTGTTGTAGCTGTAACTACTGAAGATGTTGGAGATGATTGAGAAATTCTTGTTGAATTAATTGATGTTGTTGCCAATATCGCTGGATTTAAACCCAATGAATTGAAATAAGTTTTAAAACGATTCAGTTCAGATTGTTGATGAGACTTTTCGTCTTGTAAATTTGATACCTGATAATAATAATAATAATAATAATAATAATAATATAAAGATGGTAAGTTCATTAATGAAATATTTATCGACTTTATCGAAACTATATTCCTACATCATCGCGTAAACAATACCACATGGATTTCACCGGATCACACTACGCAGAACCAAATCGACCAAATCTGCATCAATAAAAAGTTCAGAAGGACGATGGAGGACGTGAGAACCAAGAGAGGAGCTGATATGGCATCAGATCATAACTTACTGGTCGCCAAGATGACATTGAAACTTAAGAGGCAATGGATAACGGGGCGGACAACATCACAAAAGTTTTCTTCAAAGTAATGACAAGCTCAACCAATTCAAGATAGCCCTCAACAATAGATTCCAGGCCTTTCATGATCTACTTAGTGAAGAGGGAACTACTATAGAGAGTAACTGGAAAGTGATAAAACAGGAAATCACTTAAACATGTCATGAGGTTCTGTGCCAAAAGAAGGACATGCACAATGAATGGACCACTGTTGTTACATTGGATAAGATTCAAGAAAGGAAAAACAAGAAGGTGGCAATCAATACCAGCCGAACAAGAGCAGAAAAATTTAGGGCACAAACTGAACACACAGAACTAAATAAGCAAGTGAAGAGGAGCATCAAAACCGACAAACGTAAATATGTGGGAGATCTAGCGATGACTGAGGAAAAGGGTGAAAGAGAAGGAGACACGAGGCGATTGTGTGATACAACAAAGAAACTATCTGGCACTTTTCGTAAACCAGAACGACCAGTGAAAAGCAAGGAAGGCAAAGTAATCACCAACAATGAAGCACAGAAAAACAGGTGAGTAAAACACTTCAAAGAACTCTTGAGTCGACCAGCCTCACTGAACCCACCCAACATCGAAGTAGCACTCACGGACCTCCCAATCTATGTTGCCCCACCAACAAGAGATTGGTATGGCCATCAAACATATCAAGAGCGGCAAAGCAGAATGACCAGATGACATTCAAGCAGAAGCACTGAAAGCAGATGTAGCAGTAACTGCAAAGATATTTCACATTCTCTTCAGCAAGATTTCGGATGAGGAATAAGTACCAACAGACTAGAAAGGACATCTGATCAAGATACCAAAGAAAAACGTTCTCAGCAAGTGTGATAACTACAGGGGCATCACTCTTCTCTCAATATCAGGAAAAGTCTTCAACAGGTTATTGTTAAACATGATGAAGGACTCCGTAGACGCCCAACTTTAAGACCAACAGGCTGGATTCCGGAGGAATCGATCGTGCACAGAGAAAATCGAAACACTGCGGATCATTGTAGGACAATCAATTCAATGGAATTCATCACTCTACATAAACTTCATTGACTACGAAAAAGCATTTGATATCGTGGACTGGACAGCACTATGGAATCTTCTTCGACACTACGGCATACCTGAGAAGATTGTCAATATCATACGGAATTCCTATGATGAATTAAAGTGCAAAATCGTGCATGGAGGACAGTTGACAGATTCGTTCGAGATAAAGACTGGAGTCAGGCAAGGTTGTTTACTGTCACACTTCCTCTTTTGCCTGGTGATAGACTGTATCATGAAGACGTCAACATCTGGAGAACCACGAAAGTCATCATCCAGAAGATACAAGTATTTATTAACAGTTGTCTATGCGAAATACTTCGGATCCGTTGGCCAGACACTATCACCAACAACCTATTGTGGGAGAGAGCAAACCAGATCACATAGGAGGAAGAAATCAGGAAGAAGCGCTTGAAGGAGATAGGATACATATTAAGGAAAGTACCGAACTGCGTCACAAAGCAAGCCCTCACTTGGCATCATCAAGGTCAAGGTCAAAGGAGAAGAATACCAAAGAACATATTACCTCGAGGAACGAAGACAGACATGAGGAAAATGAATAGCAATTGGATAGAACTAGAACGGAAGGCTGATGGAGAGAGTGCATTGGAGAATGCTAGTCGACAGCCTATACTTGATTGGGGTAACAGGCGTAAGTTATCGACTTTATCGCCGAGCCACACTTTAACTCAATTCACAATAATGTCTGAAGTTGGAGTATATTTGAAAAATCATATGAATAACCAAACTATGGTATGGTATCAGTTCATGAAAACAATTTTTATTTATTTGAGTAGCTTAGGTAGTGTAGGCAAAAAGGTTGGAGCTTATGAGATTGTTATAATCAATGATTGGAGATGTTGGATAAAGTAGATCCAAATCGATCCCAATGATACGGAGACACTTATATGATGTTTTACCTTTAGATTTCTAGTTTTAAAATTATCTTACAAATTTTCTTGTAGAAATGCATTCTTTCTTTACGAGTCACGTTGTCTATACTGGATACTTTTTACAACGATTATTAGTTACCGATTCTGAAACTCTGGGGTCGATTTTGATAATTTCAACTTGGCTTAGTTCATACAATATGGCAAAGCAATGGAGCACCTTAAGACATGCAGTCGTAAGGTAGCCGGTGACCAACAATAGATTCATATGTCATTTGTCCCCTCACGGTCCTGCAACCCATGTGCATTACTGGTTTGAAACCAGAGTTATTCGACTCCTCTAAGTGGACCTTCCATATCCACTAACCCGGTTAAAGTTCTGAATAAACACTGACTTACTTCTTGCTGAAGATTTTTACATTGTTCAGCCAATTTCTCTTTTTCTATTAATAATGCTTTGTATTGCTCCACTGTCTTACATAACTGAAACAGAATTGAAATATACATATTTATATAACAGTAAATAATTTTAATTGATCATTGCTTTAAAAATAATTAATCCAACAGAGTCGACTCTTATTATGGTCTTCCTTTATTCTGATTAGTCACGTATTATAGTTTATCATCACTTTTCAGAGGTTCCTGGAAACTCAAAGCTACTAAGATAACTTACATTGTATGTAGAGATTGTCATATACAATATGACTGTTTAACAAGTCAATAATACGTCCGCTAGTGCATAACTTTGAAATACCAGTGGAAATTCCTAGGTTAAGACTAAATATGTTGAAAATAAGAAAGCTTTCACTAATGAAACAGGGTGAGTTCAAAGTTCTCCACCTAACACAAGATCCGATTTTCGTGGGTTTCATCCCTGAAAAACTAAACAATAGGACTTGTTGAGAAGTAACAAACGAAGATGAAATAACATTTCAGTGCTTACTAATTTTTAATGATTCAAGAGATCAGTAATTCTGAGTAGTACTAGGAATCTCAGGATATAAAAAGTTTATCTCAGGAAGACCAGAATAGTTGTTAGTTGTTTGGTCTTTATGATTACTTAGACTGTTTGAAACACCCGAATAAAGATGATTTTTACTGAAGATACGACATCAAACGCCGATAATCAGACGGTAATTTCATACTCTATTCATTCTTCCATAAAATTTGAGTTGTCTAACGCAGTTATTTTTCCAATTCTTTTCCTTCCGCTGCCAACCACTGCTCATGATTATTGTAGACTTTTTATCAGCCTTCATTTAAGCTGCCTTCGCACTTTTTCGTACTTAGAGCGACACGGGATCAAATTTTGAAAATTTTATCCCATCAGTAGGCACCGCTGAAATATATCGATTTTTCTTAATCATTTAGATATCATACTAAACTACCTCAGGCTATATATTACTTCAGTGATTGAATAACTTCTTTTCTAGTTTTTTTTAAAGAAATATACTCTTCACTCTTTAGAATCATTGCTACGTCTTCCCTTTGTGGCTTATCGCTATCTAGTAAGCAGGAAGAATGTATTTGTAAAATCTCAGAAAATAAATTTTAAGTAAATTCAACGTTTCGCTCGGCAATCTGATCCAAGCTTTTTCAACGAAATACAAACAAACATCAAAATTATCGAATATGAACAGGTATACGGTTCTTTCGTTAACTGTATACTACATAAGTCATTCAACCAGATTTGATTAGATATCCTTATAAAATCTTAGATCAGATGACCGATCAAAACGTCGGATTTACTTCATATTCATTCTCTGAGATTTTATAAATACAATCTTGCTCTGTAATGTCTTACATCAACTCGGTGCCTAAATACTATGAAACTATTCGTTCGGATTTAGACGAAAGATTTTATAATTAGTAATGCTAATTCGTGTTATTCAATACCACATATATTTGACTAGAGAAAACAATTCTGTGATCAGCATAAAAAAAACTACAATGAATTTCTCATTTAATAGAAATTCAACGTGTGAATATTCATGTAGAAGAATATAAACTTGGGAATTCTGGACGGCCGTTTTGAAATAGTTTAGGATGAGGAAGTTACCGATTAAAAATGGGAGTTGGTCGTGAAATATCGTGAATTGATTGAAGTTAATTTATTTATATTTATTTATATTAACACATGGATATTGGTACAAGGAGGCACCAAATACATATGCACCACACAGACCTCATTTGATTTGTGTGAGAGCTGTGATACTGCCCGGGTGCCCAAACCGAAGCAGGTGGTTTCTAAGGGAGCCATACTCCGAGCCTCCGACCTGAAAGTCTGGTCCACGAGGCAGTGGAGCATCGTGAGGAGATGCAGTCCCATGGTAGCCGGTGACCAACGATTGGTTCATACGCCATTTGTTCCTTCAAAATACTGGAGCCCATGTGCACCATTGGTTTAGAATCCGGTTAAAGCGACGGACATTCGCTTTTCGTCCTCTCAATTTCGTAGACAACACCCCGTTGGTGGGAAGGCAGTGAGTAGGATTTCCCTGGCACAGGCTGTATACGCGTGGCCATATGAGAGCATTTCGAGAGGGAAAGCGAACTCTACTCACTTTCGGCCATACCAGGGCATTTGGGGGCGATTGAAGTTAGACATTAACACCGTTGGATCCTGACTGTGATCTAAACATTAGGCGTTCGCATTAGGCGTTGTTGAGGAGGATGAAATAGCTATTTAATACTTCCAGACTTTCAATACTTGTCTAACATAGATCGGTTTGTGATACTAATTACATTCGACAGTCTCCACAACCACATACTGACAATAAATGAATGCTTGAAAAACAACTGAAGCAGGTTAGTTTGAAACCACATTTCACTGAACTAAGCAGTAACTTTGAACTGAAATATGGAATCGGATTTATACATTTAAAACCAAATATCACACACTATAGATATCTTCATAGCTTATAATTTTCCTTTGTTGGTATTCACAACTTAGAAAGTAAATATTATGATAACATAAAAACAGATCTATTGAAGCACAGAACATCAACAACTGGAGAATACAAACACATTATTAAAGCACTCATTACTATATGAATTAAGCAGCTTAGTGAATAATGCATAGGTTTTTGAAATGAAAGATGTATAGTTCAAGTCTCAGTGTAAACATTAACACTAGGACGCAGGTATAACCAACTAACGAAATCTAAACGGGATGGAAAACGCGACTAACAAGTCACATAACAAATTTATCAATCTCTACACATATACATATATTATAGCTAGTCAAAATTCTGATAATTTATATCCCTAAAATAATAAAGATTTCAATATCGGTCAGTCAGTAACAAGGTAGAACTTCGTACGTACGTACATCGGTTCCAGTTGCCATACCACATTAGCAAAGAGATGCAATTGTCGATTCAAATCACATAGTGGTAGAGGTATTAAGAGTATAAGCACTAGCTGGAAAAATTAGGGTTTGAAGATATTATTTATGGAGTATAATTCAATGAAATAAATTTGGAAAGACAAAAAATAAAGGGACACAAAGAATCTAAAAGATTAGAATTTGGGAGAACACAAAGAGTGGATGCACGTGCGCCATTGCAAACCATTTTGAGCCATATCATTTATGGTCGCTAACCATCGGCTACTATAGTCTCACGGATCCCAACCACGTGGTCTACACCTACCAAAATGACGCAGTCCATTTGTCAATGACTTCATGGATTTGTGTCATGTTTTGTTCTGGTCGCCCCTAACTTTCTTCCAACCTACTCCTATACCATAAAACATCGCAAGTCCGGGTAATCGGTGATTGGGCATACGTAACACATGACCCAGTCATCTCAACTGATGAAGTTTCACTATTTCATCAATTGATTTGCCATCCTTATATAGTACTCGTTTCCTAACAACTGTCCCAGGATATACGGGCAAGACACTAGTAACCTACGAATATCCTCTATTCTTACCGGCCATATTTCACTGCAATAAAGTAGGACGAAACGAACTGCTGCGCAGTAAACACGTCCTTTGGTTAATAGACGGATATCTCACGTACGTCATAAATGACACAACTTGGCAAAAGCGAGTTAGATTTCAATATACACAAAGAAAAACACTACAGAAAAATAAAAATAAACATGGATACAACAAATTTTCAACTCGACTTACACGATCTTCATAATCCATAGTATCACTGATACTTAAACGAGTTGACATTAACTAAATGATTTTAACAAATGAACAGAAATGGGGAAAGTAAAGAAATCATAGTAAATCAAAACGGTCTCCTATTGAATTCATCCATCTACAATAATACTAATATAACAGGAATATGTAATGCAAACAAACAAATTATTGCCTACCTTATTATTTATAGTAAAGAATATACATTTGTAATCAGGAGTGTAATCAATGAAAGGAAACGATTAAATCAATAATAATACACAAATATACTAAAAAATAACCAATGAAACAACCTTCAGAATTGAATACCTGTCATCAGATGAAGAAAGAGAAGTAATCAATCTTAACTATTATAAACAACCGAAGACGATGATAATGATAATGATGATCGTAAATTGAAGAATTTACAAATAATTATCGACGGTGCCTTCAGAGATGTAGTACATATATTAAAATATAATTGTGTGTGTGTCCTGGTGTGTCTGTACTCCGTAGAAAGAAAGAGTACTCAAATTAGTTTTTTGAAGAAAAAAATAATAATAAATTAAGGTCAGATCGATAGAGAGTGCAGAAACACACATATACAAAAATAGAACACAATAGAAAGGTAAACATAATACGTGATACATATGCGCACATACCTCCTTACGTATACACACATCATGTGACTAGGAGCACACAGATGATGAATGGGGTAAACATGTACTAGTGACATGTATGTACGAACATATAAGAACTGAATTATAGACACACACGTGCTCATACACATGAAATAAGTAGTATATGACAAGAATTATTATGATTTGAAACGAACTATAATTTAAAAAAGGCACTTGAACGAATTTTTTCTGGGAACAGAGAATACGAATGAAAACGCATTGACCGGTAACAAATGTAACATGATATAAGAATTTCATTCATATGACCTTTACTTAATAATTCTAAGAAAAATCTTGGTCCATTTCAAGAGAAGAAAATATAGAGGATTCGGTTCATAGAGTTGAGTATTTTCATAGACTGAGATGTTTCCCATATACATATAACTTAACCTTAACAACCATCTACCTCTAAATGAGATGTTCTCTAGTATGGGATTATGTTAAAAATAAACTGGATGTGATCAAACAAGAACATGCTATCAGACCATGATGACATTGAGTCATGTCGGTCGATATAAACTTTCTAGTTTGTATTCACATGATAACTACGATCAATGTGGTTGGAGACTTTTTTCCCAGAATATGATAATGTAGACAGTTGTTTGTGAAAATTCAATCAGTCAATCAGCTACAAAGTAGGACCAGGCACATATATGCACCGGTTCAAGTTGCCATACCACATTCTTATTCACGACCGTTGTAGCTACCTTGACGTTGTGATCAAGCCGGTCTATTCTGATGAACTAATCGAGCAAAACTGGTTGCAACAATCGTTCCTCAAGGTCCCACCATGCCAGACAGGTTGGCTGAAGAACATTAAGACTAAAAGCAACAAACCAAAGACCCGAAGGTGAAGTTGTACTGCAGAATGTACAGAGGTGTGACGGCAGTATGGTGTTTCCTTCAGATAACCAGCACAACAGAGATGCTGCCTTCCCACAAAGAGGGGTGAGGTTAAGAAAGGTCTAAACAGGTACAGAGCTAACACGAAAATTACTCACAAAAACGTCGTGTTTTACCGACCTCAAGCAGTTGTCCCTTGGGCACTGCGGTCAAGCTGTCATGTCACTAAGACTACCTGTTATCCAACTTCCTTTTCAGGTACTTCCAGAAGAACCTTTCCACGGTGTGGACAACCTTTAAGTAATAACCGCCCCCATACCTCTAATAGTACTCAACACCTCTAATTGTGAAAACTGAGTGGAATGAAGTGGACAGCACTTTTATAATAACAATGAGTGACTATTCATTGTTATTATGAAAGTCAGTAGATTGAGCACCACTTATCACTCAGTGAGCGATTGAACCTATAACTAAACTTGAAAAGTCTGATTATAGATCACACAGTTACAATTCAACCGTTTCATACTTTAAAATCCAAACAATATTCCAAGAAATTTCTCCAAACAGATAAACATGTTCTTAGAAAACAACAAAATCACTTTCCAAAAGCACGATAAACAAGGTAAACTACCATTCTTTGATTATATAGTTAAAAGGAATTCTAATGAAAGTCAAAATCTAGCAGGTATATCGTACACCGACATATTCAAATCGATGTACTGATTTTAAATCGCCACATCCATTCAGTGTAAAAAGATTTTTCTACACCTGAATTCTTTCAGTAGAGCGAACATAATTATTACTTCAAAAGAAGACAAGCCAAAGGAAAAAGATAATATCATAAACAATCTACGATTCAACAATTTTTCCTAAGAATAATATTGAAAACATATTAAAAGAAAACTATCCCTCTTCAAATAATAATGCTAGTGGAAAGTCCTGGATTAGTACTGTTGTTTTACCTCACGACCAACGTACGGCTGAAGAATTATAACGCATCCTGAAAAATTACAGAATTAGATCTTTCTACATGATAATCAACACTAAGAAACACTTTAGTTAAAATCAAAGATTTCGTTAACATATACAAAAACTTGTGTCTAAAGATTAGGTTTCCGTGATATTGCAACTTGTATCTAGGACCACTTAAATTATATAAAAACACCACCCAATAATCCTGTAGAACTGGAGAATCTACCTGCGATAGTATATGATATTTTCAATAATCAACAAATCAATATTAGAAACAAAAATAATTCACAAAGGTTTTTCCAACTCTAAAGAGAGGCGAGTAGCCGAAGCGTTTCACAGAATATTAAATCCGTCTGCCCTCAATAGGAAAGGCTTGACTATTCATCCAACCTGTACTGTTTATACAAACAACCACATTTGACCTTATTTACTATCCAAATACACAGATTTAATTTCAACTCCACTACTTGATCTTACAAATGCACACGTTTTCCGTACTCTGCTATGTGTGAAAAGATTAAGAGTTCACCTAATCTAAGAACGGAACGAGGACTCAGTGACACGATGACCAATAAGCTAGCTATTCCGATACATCCGATCCCCACCAACTAGAGAGATAAGTCCAGGGCTCAGAGGAGAGAAATGAATTCCACAAGCAGCCAGAAGCATGAACAACAACAACAACAAGCACAACTCAAGTGTACATATACAGCATACAAATGTCCTTGGTGAACTTTACAGAATAGTATATTAAAAGCGTTAACAAACCAACACGACATGAAGGTGAAAGGGGGTGCTTTTGACGTGAAAACAACACCAAGTAAATTTAAATTCACCCTATTGCACAAACAAGTGGCTATCAAGACTCAATAGCTGAGTGAATAACGCGATGGCGTTTGAAGTGAATGTTACTGGGTTCGAGTCCCGGAGTGAACATCAACTCTGGAATGCAGGTACATCCAGTTGATGAGTCTCAAATAGGACGAAATACGCGTCCACCATTCCACTGCTAGTCATTATCCATCTTTGCTTATAAAGCTTGTGAATTACGGCAATATCGAGGCAGTACGCACAGTATGCACATATGCCAATAACATACCGATCAATTGCAGTCTTAAACCTCAAAGGGAAGATTCAAGCAAACAATACCACGTGAGTTCAATAATATTCAATATCAATGATATATCACCGTTTAGATATGATTGTCCACTTATGCCAATTAATATAATAAAACTATGCTTAAACTCTCTAACTTCAGTTAATTTTAATCATATGTACACTCATTAAATGTTGTAGTTCGTTATCTTATTTGTATGAATAATGATTTCCGTATCTTTTTTTTTCTTGCTGAAGACAGTTCAAGTTATTGATTCATGTTGATACAAAAAGTTGCATCTTTCTATAAAAGATGAACTTGATGAAATTATCTTGATTCAAATCTCCACAATAACATTTACTGTTATCAGATTGATTACTAGAGAAGTTGTTCCTTTTTCAATCTCCAACTTCTGTACAGAGTACAAGGTTATCATGAAAGTTTCATCTTCTTTATTAGAGTGTTAACTATTAATGTTGAAGTGTTGTTATACGACAGACATTCAGTTTATTAGAGATCCCAATGGTTGCATTTTACTCAAGGGATCCTCAATCGTCCGTGAATAGAATATATAAGATATTAATGAAGACTTGGAAAAGATCAATATACTAAAATTTAACCTTCTATCGAACACATTCAACACATGTACATTCTATTAATTGATGAGAAACCAAAATAAAACGAAATAAAGGTTTTATATAAATTTTTTTTAAAAACAATGAACACGATTAACACACATACTTGTTGAATAGCTTCCATTATTGCTTGTTGTACAGTTTCTTCCATACCCATAATTGTTTGAATATAAGTTTGTTTATTATCACAATTTACAGCGCATGCAAGTATTAATTGTAATAAACGAAATGTCGACTCTTCATTTTCATGCTCAGCTTGAGATAAAAGCACACGAAATTATGTCATTATCAATAAGAATGTTGGAACACCTATGGAAAAATCAACTTAATCCACATCACACTACTAACTATATGAATCAGTAATATAATGATTTTTAATCGTTTAAATATCCCAGTCATATTAAAAGATTAGTATTTGAACTAATCTTTTAATAATGATTTTTATCAAGAGTAATATTCCATTCAACTTCAGTATCATCGCGACCACACGACTTAAATACTCTGCAGCAAACTGTTAACTACTTATGAGTAATATGATCAGGATAAAACATAATAAAATTGTTCTAGTCAAATAAATACATATGAGCGTTCCTCCACCCCACGGGTGAGGTTAAACCGATCGCTTTTAAAAGTATATTTTGAGTCGATTTCCACGTAAGAACAACACAGTTTGCAAAATAAAATGAATTCATCTTATTCTGTAAAACTTGTCGTTCTTGATGTGTTATACGATGGTTATACGATCGTTATCTGAGTGTTTCATGCTGCGTTAAAATGACTAGTAACGAGTTACAGATCAGTTATGTAGCAAAACTTAAAACAAAAATTGAAAATGCACTACGTAATATTAGATTACAGTCAATAATATTCAATTGTTTTCACTCCATATGAGTATATATGTGAATATCCTTTACCGATACAAATCTTTCCAATATAAGGGTACATTGATTATCAATCTATAACGCTATTCCAAAATTGAGTGGAAATTTGCAGTTCATGTGAATTATTTTGGTCGAGTTTCGTTCTCTGAGCAGTGTGAATGTAATTGTAAAATATTTTATTGTCCTTCTGAACAACGTCATAGACAGCACGAATGACGCTGTTATCTTATCTTCCAACTAGTTCGTACATGGATATGCAGTAAGAGAAGTTGTCTCGAACTACTTAACGGCTTATTGTGCTACGTTACTTAGTAAGTTTGACTTGTGAATGATCAGCCTTGAGAAGAGAGAGGAAAAAGCTACCTTATCACTAACTGACAACTTGATTTATTAGCAAGTGAAAACTATAGCAGAATACTTTAGCCGACTCATCCAACTGGAAATTGTAGGACTAACGAGATCACAACACACAATCAATACAATTCTACTAACCGAGACTATTACAGTACGAAAATTCAATACAATGGTCACGTTTGAATTACATTAACTTTGGAATAGAAAAGAGCATGACAGTAAGTTATAGATTAATCGAAAGCATATGAATTATAGAGTAAGGTAGATACATTAATATGTTAGTAATTCACAGATTATGAATTAAGTCAGATAATGCCTGAAAAAATATACCTTGAATTGTTTGTCACTTCGTTTTTCTATCTTCTCTTCACAACAGAAAACTTCAGATAGCAATGAGCTATTCATATTTCTTCAAACATGACGGACAGCTGGTTCTATTAACCTAGATGTTCACTGGATATTGTGGACCGTTGTTATCGTCGACCGGTTCACTTATCTTGGAAGGCCCTTGTGGTTTATTGTGTGACAAAATCTCAGCACGGATAAAGAAGGCTTGACTAGCTTTCGCTAACTTGCGTCATTTATGGCGTAGGCGAGATATCCGTCTATCAACCAAAGGGCGTGTTTACCGTGCAACAGTTCGTTCCGACCTACTTTATGGCAGTGAAACATGGCCAGTAAGAGTAGAGGATATTCGCAGGCTACTAGAATTCGATCATAGGTGTCTCACAAACA